CATCTATCCGTGGTCCTCATGCTGGAGGGTGGAGGACAGCAACGAACCGTACAGGGAGTGTTTCTGCCCTTGCAGTTGGAGGGAAATGTGCCATAAGAAAAAACATGAATATATCATGTTGAGAGGTGCTAAGCACGATGGGAACAATCAAGTGGGCAAGGGGATGTGGAATGTAGAGGCTAGAGTGGGCACTTAGGGTGCCGTTTACAGTGCGTGGTCAGGAAAGCCCTCTTTGCTGTGGCCTTTGAAGGAGGGAGGATGTGAGCCAGGAAAAGAAGGTCCACCATGATGGGAATAGAAACACTGAGCCTGGAGGCAGAGTGGGGTTGGTGCCCAGGAAATGCACGGTGTGGCCAATGTGGCTGGGAAAGGGGCGGGGGCGGGGAGGGGGGGAGAGAAGCCTTTTGCTCACCTGAGTGTGAAACTGATTTTGCACCACGTCCCCAAGTCTTGTCAAGCTGGACTGTGTACAGCACTCAGATCCGTTAATAAGCATTAGAATTATGATGTTGCCATATGCTTGATACAGGGGAACTGCAGGGATGACTTTATTTCGTGTCCTTCTATACCTTTCTTGCTAACTCTGCCGGGAAGTCCCATGCCGCTGACATCCCAGCTTTATTGCCTCTGCTTAGAACTTTCTCCTCCTCCTTCCACGCTGGCATGCTCTCCTTCATCCTTTGGGTTCCCGTTAAACGTGCTCTGGGATGCTTCCCTGATCGCCCCCAGCACGATTCCGTGGTGTTCCTAAATACTCCTGCCCTTCCCTTCTCCTTAGCACTTACTGCATTGCAGGGCACCCTGAACGTTCAAGAGCTCTCTTCCCAGTGAACCGTTGGGTACTGTGAGGCCAAGGCTGTGTTTGTCTGAGTTCCAGTTGTACATCCAGGGTCGAGTGTGAACAAGTCATTTAATGTTTCTTTGTGGGTAGATGGATGACTAGAAGCATGCATGCCTGCTAGTGAAATGTGTTCCTAACGGGGCATGTTACCAGGCAGAGTTCAAGTAGATGATTATTACAATATTGGTGAAATATGGAGTCCCACACGAACCCTCTTGGGCTGAGACCATAGATTTCATCAAGAGAAGTCCCCAAGGGGGCACATGTTATTAAATGGTGAGAATTTTAAAATCAGAAGGAACCCTTTTTGTCATGTAGTTAAATGTCCTCAATTGACAGAAAGAGGAAGCACGGGACCAGAGAGAGGAAGTGACTTGTCAAGGTCAATCAGGTTGTGTGATAGTCAGGGCTGAGATGGTAATCGGGCATTTGGATTCTCTAGCATTTGATTCAAAGAGTGTGCTTCGTGTGGTCTCCTTCAAGCGTCCCAGGATCCAAACACTGACATGCTATACTGGGTCATAGGTAGATCAATCCCGTGCTTGGGAGGGACGGTTACGGTATGTTCTTGGGTTTGGATGTTTTAGACTTGGTGCATTTTGTGGGTAGGAAACCGCCACTTGGATGCGAAGTACTTCTGAAAGGATTTCAGTTTCTGGAACAGACATACAATGCTGCGACTTGCTGAGCCAATTTTTTCCCCCATCCATAGAGTCCTAAAGTAGCAAGCTTGATTTGAAAATAAAGTATTAGTAAACATTTGAAAGTGAGGAACAAATTATTCCCAGAACACTTAGCTCCTTCCTTCAAATACACACTTGAAAACTGCTAAGATTCTATTCCGTGAGAATGCTTGAATCTCTCCCTAAATCATAACACGAGTAAACTTACCGAAATATTTTTACAATTTTATTAGAGGTTTTAATTCACTGCTTTATCTATCTCTGTTAGACTGCAAAATAGCTTTAAATATTCAAGTGGTAATTAATGAATCTTTTATGTTGCAAATCAAACATTTTCATCTGTGCGCTGGTGGAGTAGCAGTGAGGAAGGATTTCAGGAATAATTGTTTCTCCCAATTCCACACTGTTGACTAGCTCGTGCCTTGTGTTTGAGGAGTGGGTTTCCCTTTGTTGCCTAGTGGGGCTCATGCTCAGCATGGACGATGTCTGCTGTCTTTCTGGAGGTCAGGATTTCTTATGTGTTTCCTGCCAGAGACATTCCCGACTGGATGGAAAGTCTTTGAATGTGGAATTTTTGCTTGAGTGCAAAATAATAAAAAGCATGTGTATGTTAAAAAAGGATCAGCTTAATGGCAAATGAGCATTGGCTTACGTTAATATTCTATTACAGTAAAAACTTCTATTTAATAAATTTTCTCCAGACTTTTTTTTTCCTCCCAGAATCTAACGTATTTTTCTAAGTGGCTTGCCAACCTAAAGAAAGTATATATGATACATTTGATTTATGTTAAGTCAATAACACGCACAAGCCATTTAAAATTGTATTTTAAGTGTGGAAATAGCAACCCAAGGAAACACATATAGTACTATATATTCAGAAGGGAGAAGTGTTAGCTTTTCAGGGGCTGAAATGCCTTGTAAATATTATTCTATTTAAAAGAGATTTTAAAAATGTGGTGCTTTTCTGTCAGATGGCAATAAAGCAAGGCTGAAATCCTGTCCTATAGTTCAAAACCAACAATCAAGCTGGTCTTAAAGACTTCACATGACAAAATCATTTTCCTTTCCTCTCTCTCTCTGCCACTCATGAGAAATGATTCAGGGAGAGAGCAGCTCTCCAGAACGTTCACCGAACGACTGACAAAGTCTTCATTGGAAGGCACCCCGTGTTCCTCCACGGCCCTAATTAATACTGGACTTGGTGACATTTATGTATCAGGGCAATAAGCTAAACAGGAAACAATTTATGTCACCTAAAGCTTTTTAACAAATCGATGCAACTATTTGTAATTGCTTGTTTCACAAGATGAAAAGTGCTAAGGCCTGATCTTCGCCCACGGATTTGTGGTCAACCTGACCCGAGCTTCCGTTGTTTAAAAAAAAAAAAAGAAGGGGGGGGGGTGGCAGTTGGTGATCTGCACTGACTTCCATCAAGTAATCCATATTGCTAATATTTCTGGAATTTTAATGTAGTTACAATTTATAGCCGATCAAATGTGGTTACCTAAATTGCTGTTGCTAGTAGACAGTTTAACTGTCTTTATTAATTACAGTATAATTTAATGTTTGAGTACCGGCACTTGTGTTGGTCATTTTTACAGTCAGAGCAGTTACCGGCCTTATGACGAACCATTTTAGCATTTTCAATGGAAATTTGCTAATATGATGAGTGATAAAAATGTCACACGCTGGTAAATAATGATTATTGCTTTGGCTGAAATTAATTCTTGAAAGGCCGGTTACCTTCAAATTAACATTATAACTTGGAAGCTTGTCTTTTTCCCATCCCCTATATTCTTGGTAGAAGCCAAAAAAAAAAAAAAAAAAAAAAAAAAAAAAAAAGGAACACTGACCATTCTGAATGTATATATATATGTGTATATATATATATATATACATACATACATATATATATGTATATATATAGTATTAAGCATCGAATGTCATTTTGCAATCAGAGTGGAAATAAGACGACATAGGGTTTGTTTGTTTTTTCAATAAAATACTGTTTAAAAATAAATAAAAGTAGGTTATATCTAGAGTGATGGCTTTCTAATCCAAATATTGTCCCAGTTAAACCAGTGTTTTTGTAGGTAATTTAATTTCCCTCCAATGTGAATTCTGTCTTAAACCTTTCATCAATCAGTCAATGCCTTAAATGAAGGTTTTGAGACCCAACTTCACTTTAATAAAGAATACTTTTATTTGACTCTACTACAATGAAGATGAAAGACAAATCATGATTACTACCCTCTACGTAAATATGTAATATCAAAGAACGCAAAATCTAGTAAGTCAAGAATGACTAATTATACTTTGTTTTGGTCTTTTTGATGGGGGGGGTGGGAGTGGAGGACGGGGACACGGGGAGTTAGTATATTGTAGCTGTTTGTGTTGGTGTGAAATTAGTCTAAGACTCGAGGCTCCTAATATATAAAGGCCTCCATTTAAACGAACCAGTATTTTGGGTTTCCTGCCTCATTTCTCTGAGCAACAAGCCTTAAATGAGTGAGCAAAGGAGCACGTTCCTGCTTCAGAAGAATTCCAGAAATACAACTAAAAAGGGACTGTGCATACAGCCTTCACTAACGCATGGTCATACTTGGTTTGGGTCCTTCACCTTATTCAAATATGTGTACATATTTAATTTTACCAACTGCATATGCTGTAAGCAGTATTTATGTGTAAGCCTGGCATTTAAAGGAATTTCAATTAACCCTAATATTCTATTCTTAGCAGCTAGATGAGAATTAAGGGTTCAAATGTTTTATTAATTATCAGACTAGAGGGCTTCTAGACTGTAGCATAACTGTTAATGAAAAGAGGACACTACTTTGCAACTTAATAGCAAAACCTATATTAAAAAAATTTTTTTCCCCCTAAGACGGGCTTTTCAAAACAATGCTCGGAAGGCACGTTTACGTGTTCCTCACCGGCAGCCGGTGTTTGGCCGAACAGCAGCTTGGTTAATTTTCAAGTCCTCTTTTGGCTTGTGCTACGCTCTGAATTACATCCAGAAGGGTTTTATGTTACTACGGTTTGGCCACTTCAAGTGCTGTTTTCAATATACCAATTTAATTTTTACTGAAAGATGATGCCCCTTCTCATCGATCCTTACAATACACACGACATAATAATTTAAAAGACAAATAGCAGGTTTTTTGCTTTTTTGTTTTTATCAAGGTATGCGGTGACACAAATCTTGAAATCAAGATGGTATTTCTGGAATATTTAGTTCCTCGTGCTTCACTGTTTGCTGTAGTGGATGTGGTTATCTCGCATACTTTTGATAGAATATTTTTATAAAATCATTTGTTCTAATCTAAGCATTTATCATTATATGCAAAAAGATTTCTTGATGAGAATATTATAGACGGTGCATGTTTTTGACATTAGCATTTTATTTGGATGACTAATCTTGCAGATGTGAAATTTTAATGAATTATTCATGAAATTGCTTTCCTGTGAAATTTTAGTTTGCTCTTAATGCTAGTTATTAAACATTTTGTGGGTTTTTTTTTTTTCTGGATAAAATTTGATGAAGAAAAAGAAGGGTGCACTTCCTTGGGAGAAAAGGTAGCTTCTATAGCTTTTGGTTTTTTTCCAGTTCTCTAAGTGGAAACTCGGGACTTTGAAACCGTGAGGATGAGAGCTTCAGCCCTCTGTGATGATGAAAGCTTTTAGTTAAGATTGATTTTAATTCTGTGTTGCAAGCAGCTGGTGATAAACCTAAGGCAGATGCCTAACATACAGTATCAGCAGGTCAGAAGGGGAAAGAAACTTAGGCTGTGGCGACTTTTTACTACCAGTGTGAACAAACAGCATTTTTATTGCATTTGAGAATGCGATAATGTCAGTCATGAGTACTGACTACACAACATTTTTTTTTTTTTTTATTGTCTGTATCCACAGACACGGAATGATGGAATTACAGTTGATGTCAAGGAATGAGTTTCTTTTATGCCTTATCAAAACAAAACAAAACAGAAAAAAAAAAAAATTCTTGTTACTGGCAGCACATATCCACGAAGCACCGTGCTCATAGTCCGGACTAGACCATCTTCATCAAGGCTTCTGGGTAGCAGAGATCGTGGGAACTACACCGGCCCCATAAAATGCCTTTAGAATTTTAAGTCTCATTCTCAGGATAAAAAAGCGAAACCGACATTCAAAAACATCCAAAATATCAAGAGGGTATATATACCATTAACCAACAGGTACCCAAAAGATTCAAAATCCTTACAAGCATGTTCTTCTTTGTACCCTTGGAAACGGAGCTCAGCGGGAATGTGGAAAGGAGAGGAGATATTTTTTTAACTTTTTTTTCCCCCCCACAATAAAATAGCTAGTGATTTACATCAATCAGATTTTGGGTTAAGAATCCAAGGTATTCTTTCCTAGGTCTGACGGAATGCTGGCTGTAATGTTAGCGCTGTCCGAGGGTGGCAAGGTTGGCGGTCACTCTTCGTGGACAGAAGCCTTGATATTTCATTTCACTGCTGGTTTTCAACGCGGGCAGCGTCACTTGTCTTACAAGGACAGACTCTAGGGACAAGTAGGATGGATTCTCATTCCTGACAGTGCATTTGCCCGATACAAGGGACTGTCTCCCTAATGTACGCTTTTCTTTGGAGAAAAAAAAAAAAAAGAAAAGGAAAAGTAACAAATTGTCTTTACATCTTGGCACCTTGTAAAGTTTTTTTTTTTTTTTTTATACAAAAAAGTTCAATAGCTTTGACAACTCCCCATTATTAATCACTACTTCACTGATAAACTTTGAAAGTGTGACCCTGGAATTTCATCATGCAAAATATTTACTGCAGCAGGAGAAAACATTTTTTTAAACAGCATTTTTTTTTTTCTCTTTTCAAATGTATGAACTTGTTTAAGATAGCCAGGAAGGCAGTGGTGGGATAAACACAAGGGATAGGAATGTATCAAAAAACAGATTAACACACACGCGCACGCACACACACACGAATCTGTACAAAATGCTCTGATGAGAACAGAAAAAAAAAAATCTGTCAACTATGTTACAATTTAAAAGGAAAAAAAAAAAAAGGTTAGGGAATTTCTCCCTCCCACATGTCAGGAAATGTCATCCAATATTCTTAAAGCAAGGATAACTAAATAAAATACATGTGCAGCAAATTCTGCAATTCCATTACATACAGTAGTTTTTTCCCAAAGCTATTTTTTTTTTTTTTTTAGTATCGTTAATATAAAGCAGTTGCACAAAAAGCAAAGGTGTTTTGACAAACAGGTGTATGCATTTATTCCTTTTTAGGAACAATATCTAAAAAAAGAACCGCCCTCTGCCCTCCCCCAAAAAAGACAAAGATTCACACAAGACACATTGGAATATATGTACAACATAATAAACCCCATCCTAAAGAAGCGACTGGAATAACCCCCCCCCCCCAAGGGATACAGAATCAGAATTGTAAAAATCATAGTGAAGTTTGCTTGCTGTAAAGCCTGAGAATTTTTTTTTTCAATTGGTTCTTCTGCAGGGTTGGGAGACCTGCAAAGATATGTAAAATCTAATTTTTCTTTTTTTTTTTTTTTTTTTGCTACAGTCTTTAGACTAAGCATGCAAGACATACGACTAAGTGCAACTGAGTGAAATGTATTTTTTTTTTATTTTCATCATTCCCTAAAGGTTTGAACTGAGGTATGCGTACTAACAGTTTCTCATGCTGTTATCTTTACTCATGTCTAGCTACACATGCTGAGAATGAACTAATCTACCAGATTTTTATCCTCTTTTGAATACCAAACGAACCAGCAACCACTCAGTTTAGAAGCACAGGGCCCCCTTCCCATGACCCTGTCTGGCTACTGCCTGCACATCATGAAGCTGCCTGGAAAAGTTAAAAAAAAAAAAAAAAGTCTCGAGTGACCACAGACTGCCCTTTATACAGAAAGCACAGTGAAGCTTCAAAAGAAATGGCCAAAGAAGTTTTTGTACCAAGCTCATGAGTGGACGGGAGTGTTACTTTTTTTTTTTTTTTTCTTTCAATGGCAAATGCTGACCAAAGCCTAATTAGAAAAAAAGGAAGGAAAAAGGAAAACATTTAAAAAAAAAAAAAAAAAAAACCAACAAAAAACCGGAAGATATATGCCAAGACAAAGCATACTTCATGCAGTGATCCTAGCACGGTCCTTAAAACCAAAGTGGCATACCTCTTTCTGTAAAAAGAAAAACAAAAATGTATTCTAGAAATGTGCCTGTGATTTAGTTCCAACGTAGAAGCTTTTGTTTTCTTTACATTTTTTCGTAACTGTCTCCTTTACTGGTTACCCCTAATCTTCAGTGGCATCCATTCAGGTTTTTGAGATGGGACTCCCTTCCTTCTTTCGCTCCTGTAACACTGTGCCCCATTTTCACCTTCAGCAGCCCCATAATCTCTCTTTAGGAATTTTGGTCTCTGTCGAGGTACAGAAGAAGAAAAAAAAAAATAACAAAAATAACAACTTTGGTTCCATTACCTACTTGGTCTTCTAAATTTATTCTATGAAGAAGGAGCAGTTCTCTTTCTCAGGTTAGCAATAGCCTATAACTCATCAATTGCCTCTAAAATTCTTTCGCCTCCTTTGATCAACAATAAGAGGATATTTGGCTTCATCAGATAAAGCATAAAACAGAGAACATAATTTACCTTTGTGTAATATCTTTGGTAATTTTAGAAAAAAAGGTACAAAGAATATAAATTAAGCTCCAAAAGGCTCTCAAACTAAAACAAAAGCTACGGTCCTAGATAAATAAATGAGTGACAGGAAAGTGGGTGCAGAGTGGAAGCACTGAGGGGTTCCTAAGGACTGAGGTTGTACTGACCGATGGCCGTCACGTTCGGCATATGCCACGTTTCTTTCTCCAAACGCTCAGGAGCGCCATGCACCCCCCGTCTCCTCGATGTCTTCTACTGTTAGTTTTGGATACTGCCTTGGTGGGATAATATTGCATAACAAACTCAACTGCAGTACCGAATTTGCACATTTGAAATTAACACTTTAGCATTTGCTGAACTCAGTCCTCATTAACTTCCATCACAAATTCAATCTGAAATCTAATTTGCATTCAAACAGATTAATGCCACCAAGCAGGTCTGGACTGATGTTTAAATTCAGCGCCGCCAACCACTTTTCAGCAGAGTTGCTCAGGGAAGCCAGCTTTTTGGCCATTTTGCAAACAAAGCAACCCAGCCTGGTTTTAACATCAGAGAGCTTGTGGCCCATGGCAACTTGGTTACCCGAGGGAGAGCCTTCCACAGCCACACTGTCCATCTAGCAGGAGAATCTGGGGGGGGGCGGGGGGGGGAGTGCTGCCTATGTGTCCTTGTGCTCGCAGAATGCTGTGGCATTTACTGACGATGATGGTAGCTGCAAAAAACAAAACAAAAAAAAGAAACTGAAACCACCCCCTTCCCACCTCCAATACTGCTTCGTGGAATGAATCTGCATTGTTCCTAGGGTATCTCTCTCTCTTTTTTTTTTTTTCTGTCATTCATTCTCTTTCTGGCAGGACTTCAGGTCTGTGTGAGAGGACCTTCATGTGTAGAGAGTGCAGCATTTGGGACCTTTTTTGAAAAAGACCAAAACGGAATGTTTTCTGACTTTAGAAAAAACGTGGTGATGTCTGAAGGAAAATGGAATGAGTGACAGAAAACTACAAACGAGAAATGACATTCAGCTTTGTATAATAAAAACACCTATTAACATTCATCACAAGGTACAGAAAACTTTAAGCCTCCAGGAGGCCGTGGGCCCAAATGGAGGCCTGAGGTCAGAACTTAAAATGGTATAGTAGAAGCAAAAAAAAAAAAAAAAAAAAAAAAAAAAAAAAAAAAAAAAAAAGCAATACATTAAAAAGTTTGGGATAATTACTTTTTTAACCCCCTCCCCCCAATACACACACAAAGGCCTTCCCCATCCCAACTGGAAGCAAAACAAAAACGAAAAAAAAAAAAAAAAGGGAGTAAAGGCAGTGATAATCAACATGCAGTACTGTGCAAATAGGTCGTCCATTGGAATCCTTAAATTCTGGGCAGAGGCTTGGTCTGCAGCTTAGACGCACATGCTCAGTTGGGTGTCCTCGGTGTCCCACGTCGGCAGGACGGCAGTTCAAAGTCTGCTGCTAAAAGTGAATCAGTTTAGCAAATTTACAACACTGATGTTGACTGTTAGGAGAGGAAAATCCCAAGTACCAAACAAGTCCATCCAATGCACAGAGTACAAATTCCTTTTTTCAACAAAAAGTAGAAAAATCAAAAATACTCCCAAATGGGATTCTTGATGGCACTCAGAGTTAACACGTTTCAGAGTTGTCCGAATGGAGTGAAAATCCTCCAGACTGTACAACAAATGGAGAACAATTTCACTGCTGACTTTTGACGTGTTTTTCCCCCCCAATCTTCGTTCTTGGGGTTGGCCTGCCCAGAGACGCTCACTCCATGTCCTCATTTACGGGTTCGTCTTCGTAATCTCGGTCGTGGTCAAAATCTGGACTGTGGTTGGCTGTTGTCACTAAGGATAGAGGCCCTTCAGCTTCCTCTGGGTCGAGGGGCTCTTCTTTGACGTGCACAGGATGCCTGGAAGGAAGGAAAACAGGTTCACTTCACGGAAGGCCCTTCCCGACCAGGGCAAGTTGGGGGTGGGGGCAGCAAAAGCCTCCCTAGATGGAGGACTGGGTGGTGGCCATTTAAATTCAAACGAATGAAAACTTCATGCCATTTAAAATTGCGTTTCTCAGTGCCACATTCCAAGTGCTCAAGGGCCCCGTGTGGCCCGTGGCTACCATACTGGATGGCAGAGAGAGAAACACTTCCATCAGGGCAGAAGGTTCCTGTGGGGCAGTGCTGTTCTACAGTCCCTGGCCAGAGCAGCCTCTCCCGCAGGGGTGCGTTTCACACTTTAAAGCGCACTCAGATCACCTTGCGCTCCTGTTAAAGTGCCGCGTGTGTCTCAGCAGGGGTGGCATGGGGCCTGAGACTCTGCATGTCTGACAAGCTCCCACGCCATGCTGCTGGTCCGAGGAGGACCATACTCCGAGTACCAGATAACAGGCCCCGCAGGGGCATCCTGGGTGGAAGAATACAAATCTTGGAAGAATTACGTGAAATAAGAATCTGCACTACAATGGTGTTTTGTGGGGACCACAGAGTGCGGGAGGCTGGGCTAATCATGGCTTGCTGTGTGTTCTGCTTTGCTAGTTAACATGCAGAACCTGTGAAAGAAGTCTCCAGAGACCGACCCCAAGCGAGGTTCTATCATTAATCAACTTCAAGCAAACACAGCAAAGAGACACCATGATACATGCTTGAAACTCCAAATTAATGCATATTTTTACAAACTGTCAATAAGGCGAGAAAAGCCCTGCCAGGAAACACAAATGGAGAGGAAAAGGCTCGCCCAACACAACAATATGATAAGAAAGCAGAGCCCCAATCAGAATAATAACGCTGTCAGCTGTAAACAAGGCAAAACAAGAGGCCCGGCTGGTAGCGGCCACCGGGACGCCGTAGCCTGTGACGAGATCTGCCAACTTTCTCATTATGGACCCGCACAGGGTTCACCTGAAGGGGACTGCGGGGGATCACGCGAAACCACGGGGCTAACAATTGAGAAATGTTGTTCGTAAATCATATTTACAACCGATCCTTTGCAAATACAAATTACTTTCTGTTGCAAGCCTTTTGATATGTAAAAGAACCATTCAAGTTAAAATGGTCCCATCGCTGGGACAAGCTGCAGAAGGGAGGATTTTTTAATTGACATTATCAAGTATTAGTAATAAGAGGTGGTACTGGGGATGGCCGACTTCCTAAATAATTGATGTACGCAAACCCCAAAGGCCACTCGAACCATTTAAAAACAAACAGGAGTGCTTTGGACTGCCCTTGATGATGTGAACCTTCAGAAAACCAACTGACTCTAAAATTAGCACAGCCTAGAGAGGGTTTGGGGGTAGATGTCAGGGTAAATAGCTTTTAAAAAAATGGTGCCCATGTTCTTCAAAATGATTTGCAAAACGAAATTTATCGAAGTTGTAATACAGCCCATTTGACGGGTCGTGCTCCGTCTGGTTTTAGTTTCTTTAATGGTCCTACTTATTTGTGTTTGTACAGTGAGGCCGAGGAATGGCTGTGTAATTGAAGAGCCCCCGTGAAAAGTGAAGATGGGGTTCACAGATCAGTAGGAACTTCAATAAGGAAATGGCAGAGCATTGAAACCTCCCAGGATACCTTTGAAGCCAGCCCTCGGAGGAAACCCTCTATTCTTCTGGGAAGAAATTAGGTGCAGTGACGATGACCCCTTTAGAAAACAATCACCCAAAATCCCAAATTAAGGTAGGTTTTTTGTTTTTGCCTATTCTCTCCCATGGGGGTAATATTTTTACATACTGCATGCATAATGGAAATAAGATGATTTTGCTAGCTTTTTCAGTTGTAATTTTTATGGCTGTATGAGATCCCTTGTGCGGACCCATCAGTCCCTTAATACTGGGTGTTTCGTGACGGTCTTTTTTTTTTTCTCCTTTCTTCTGCTCTTTGAATAATAGAGTAACCACTTTTATCCATTAATCTTCCTATTTCTGCTGATTTACCTCCTCAGGATAAATTTCTAAGAATGAAATTCTGGGAGCAAAGGCCAAAAACATCTTTATGGTTCTTATGATTTATTATAGTATTAATTTCCAAAGGGGCTGTATCAATTTAGATTCAACTTCATCAGCTCCGAGCATGACTTTTATTTTTATTTAAAGAAAAAAAAATTTTTTTGTTAATGTTTGTTTATTTTTGAGAAAAAGAGCATGAGCGTGGGAGGGGCAGAGAGAGAGGGAGACACAGAATCCGAAGCAGGCTCCAGGCTCTAGGCTCTGAGCAGTCAGCAAAGAGCCCTTTGCGGGGCTTTAACCCACAAACTGCGAAGGTCATGACCTGAGCTGGAGTCGGATGTTCAACTGACTGGGCCACCCAGATGCCCCCCCCAAGCGTTACTTTAAAATATTTTGTTGCTTAGCAAGTGTAAGGTAAGCGCAGGTTACTTTAAATTGCGCTCCCTGGATCACTGACAGTGGTGAACGTTTCTTCATATTTCAGTATCCTATTTTCACTATTCAATAGCAGTGTTACTTCACAAATTACCCCCTCTTCTCCACTGATTCACGTTTGGCAAGAAATGTATCTGTGTGTTACCAAGTCCTGTATTGAAGTTCACTGTAGTATCCTGGATCATCGTTTTCGCACTTTTCCTTCTTTTATGCTTAACTATTCATCTATTCAGGTTTATAAACCTGAATTTGAGTTTGGGAGGGGGTGGGAAGACTGAGAAATAGAATATTCTTGAGGAAGTTCTTGCCTTGTAATTTTTGACTCTGACGACTGTTTCGCTAGGCACAAAAACAAACCAGATACAGTGTAAGTCTCCCCAAACACAGGTCACGTTAGAGAATATTTTGTTTTCCCCTGAAAATTGCAGCTGAAGTCAAGCATGATTATTGACCAACCCCAAGACACAGGTTAAGACCCTATCGTGCATGCTGGCTTGCCCCAGTGCCTAACGCGGAGCCCGTCCCCGACGAGATGCTAGCTCACTGACGAGATCTGTGTGACAGCCTTGACAACACAACTGAGTTAGATATTAAGGCTCCTTAAAGCTCCAGAGAAATGCAATCCAGCCTCACAACATTTCTTCGTACCAGCAGATCCCCCCCGAGTGTGGCAAATGCAGTCACACGGGCATATGGCGCTTCAGAGAATCCAAGAGAATGGATTTCCAAGCAAGATACATTTCAGGTGAGATGCAAACTATTTAAGATACTATTCTTCACATACAAGTGCGTGTCTCCTGGAAATCGGAACTGCACGGGTGCGCCATCTTGCACGTCACCCCGCTGCCCCACCTTTCTCTCCATCTCCTACTTGCCAAACAGTTCCCGATGGAAAGAAACTGTGTGCAAAACCACACACTTCCCTTCTTACATCTGAGTAATTCCTTTGTTTAGCCACTCTGGGAACATGACAGTTTTTAACTAAAGCTGACTGGTGTTTAGAGGCATTGTGTTCTGAGGGTGTGTGCACAGCATGGAGTATTTTGCTTTGTAGCTCCGTTGGTTCCTATCGGGATAAAAGTGTAATGCCCCAGAGCCATAATTATGGGAGTACTTTCTAGTGTTTCAAAGGGGAAACAAAATGGGGTAGTAGTGGCGTGTCACGGGAAGGCTAAGAACGGGGAGCTCGGTTTCAACACTAGATCGAAGCTTGGGCTGCCGGTCCTAACAAGGTTCTTTAAGCCACGCTATAAAGTTTACAGCTTGATTTATTCCAACAGACTAGAACAGTTAAGAAGCCATTTGCATCATAGCCGGGTAATGCATACTGCACAAGAAGGAAAACTGTGTCATTACAGAAGTCGCTTAATGGAAACAGAGGGTCAAAAAGAGTAACATTCTGTGACACTGGGAGCGGGCACAAGGGCGATGCTGTTAACACACAATTATATTTAGCAAAGAGCGCAAACCGGGGAGATGTGAGCAACGGCGTGCGTCATGACATCTGTACACAGGGTTTCCTTAAACACAGCAGAAAACAACGGAAACCTTCATTTCGTTAAAAATTAAGCCGCTTGTGATAGATGGTTTCTGGTAATGCTGGGGTTCATTCAAAGTTAGGAACTTGGGAGGGGCTTTATCTCGTACAGTAAAATTAGCCTCATTCTCCACTGTTGCCCGAGGCTCTGATCCAAATATCTTTCTCTCTTCAGTAATCCTTTGCACTACGTTAACAGGAATGTATATCCACCAGCCCTTTGGAGTGCAGATAGATTGTGAGGAATAGTCTCTCTTCCAACCAGTAACTTCGGATATATTTGCTTTAATGAGTATTGCTTGAAGCGGCTTATATACCAATTTATGTTTGCTCTGAACTTCCTTAATATCTGAGTAAACACTCCTGTCAGGACAATGATTTAAAAACGAACACGAGTGTGATAACAATAAAGTCGGGAGCACCAGATTGCTTGAGAAGAGGTGATGTGTGGCAGAATCAGTGTGAAAGACAAACGCATTCTTGAAGTGTTGTGTACTAAATGGGAAGAGATGGTTCCTGTAAATTAAAAACGATTATTTCCATCTTTAAAGGTCCTTTTCAAAGCTCTTTGGGCATGACATTCAAATGCTAAGTAATCAAATTTCAGATTCCCCTCGAACCTACCCATTTCCCTGGCAGACAGCCTTTTTTCTTTTTCTTTTTTTTCCCTGCTGTCATTAGATGCCAATTCATTCTGTTGCTAATCGCTCCAGGTCATACTATCACTCAAATTACCTTAAAATAAGATGTGGGTCAAGGAATTCACAAACAGGGTGTAGACAAGGGGCCGATTCCAGGAGCTGGCAGTCCTGGAAAGGCTGGATTGGTTTGTCCCTTTAAAGGGGGCAACGCTTTAGCAGATGTTTGGTAAGAGATAGAGACGGCCCCTCCCTGGCATCCCCCGCAAATCCAATCACTTGGAAAAACGTGGTGTCTCTTCTCTTTGCAGCCTTCCCGAGCGGAGAGGGAGCTCTTCCTCCTCGGGAGGCATCGGAGCCTCTCGGGAGGTCTGCCCAGTCCCTGTGCTGTTCACATTCAGCATGGACAACCATCGCCCATCACTTGATTCAGTTATACGGTGCTCATTATACTGCCGTCTGCTGCTATAATGCTCCTATTAATTTTCCTTTTGATATTTTAAAGCAATCTATAAATCAGGCCGCCTTTCATTTGTGCCGTCGTTAATGCTTGGTCATCAGGCTTGAGCGTGGTGTTGGCGGTCCGGACTATCACAACCAAGTAAACAAGCACTCTTTCTCCCCCTGCCAGGTTCGGCACACCGGCAAGTTGAACAAACTCACAGAGACGCATACTGATTTTAGGAGGAAAAGGTAATGTGGCTTCAATAATGGCCTGAGATGCCAGGCAGAGGGAAAAAAAAGCAAATGAGTCACCCATTTTATTGCCGTGTGCACTTGTAGGGCTGCATGAAGCTGATTGCTTTTATGGGAACGTTAGCATAAATGGTCCTTTTATGTGCTAACCGAGCTAAACATTTCCAGAAGCACCAACTTCTACCTCGGTTCTAGGAAAGCAGAAATTACAGAAAGGGTCTAAAAAGCAGCTCGAGAAGAGTTCGTGTGCACATCGCATGCGGAGACCTTCCGGGCGTGGACAGTACTCACACAGCTTGCAGAGGGGATCTGCCCGGACTGCTGTCACTCTCGTTGCTGTTGGTATGCTCCATTGCCCCGTTCAGCTCTTCCCGTATGGCGCTGGCTAAGTTGCCCAGAGTGGGGTTTCCCATGGAAGCGGTAGTGTATAGAGGTATACTATTCTCAGCCATCGAAGCCTGTTAGCAACCGAGAGAAAATGTATGAGGACGCAGAATATGCACAGACAGGGAAGCTGTTAATTAGGGGCGTATTCAAGGATCTTCCGGGTACGTTCATCGTGTGGCCGGCAAATGCAAGTTTCGAACAGGTGTAAAAGGATTCTGCTTTAACATTAAGACTTGTGACACATGTCCCAAGCTTGGTTTCCAAGAGCTAGCTGGGACCAAACCGCTCAAGGGGAGGGAAGGCTCAATGTAGCCCTGCTGGGTAGAGTCACACGGTTTCGACAAGGCTATCTAAAATGAGCTTTCTGTCTGATGCCTTCCTTCAAGAGGGACTGAATATTTCCAGATCACAGGGAAATATAATGGAATTTTCATTTCTTTATCCACTTTGATGACTCCAGTATTGGATATTAAAGATTTGATCCAATTATTATGGCCGCACAGCTCAAACTTATGAGAACTTCCATAAACATGTACCTCTTAGATCCTAGAGAAAAGGGAGAGATTATAGAATTGGAATCAATTTTTATCCCCCCTGCCCGCATCATTTCTGTTTTAATAATTTTTGAATCTGTTTAGTGTAGTCTGCGTGGTGTTACCTTCGACCAGTTATCTCAATGTTTCAGACTCAGACCGGTCACCTGGAATTTTAGGACTAAAGAAAAAAAGATACCTGTCACTCCAAATGAGTGTCAGCCAAAAAAAAAAAAAAAAAAAAAAAGTGTGGAATTGGAGAAAATAAGAAATCCCGAAGTCTGGTGGGGGGATGCTGTTCACTTGCTATCCTCCTGCATTTGACAAAAATGACCACCCAGTCTAAAATGCAGCCAACAGTTACAGATGACCCTGGACTGAAGTATCCATATTGTTTCCTTGGGTAGCGATTATGACCCAGTAACTTTTCATTTCATTAAAGAGGGCAGACTTTCAAAAACTGGCAGTGTAATTAGACCAAGATCGATCAAAACTGTCCTCTTACAGACTACAGTATGCCTGGTTTTCCATCCTAATGAGGAAAAAGTACAATCACAAGACAATCTGGCACGGTGACTTCAATTGGCCAGTGATACAAGAGGCCAAAGTATTCTAGAAATCCTGGCTCTAGAGAGAGAGCCAAAAAATGAAGACAGAACGGGTGCAGAGCTGGGCTGCAGGGAATGTGCCTGTTATGACAATTGCAGCCTCCCTCACTGTCCAAACTGCAAAGCCAGGAATGCCTTCCTAGATACAAGCCCCTGTGATGGGTCTTCACTTAATAGGGCGCTATTTCAAAGCCAAGCCCTCTTGCTGCAAGCCCACAGCTTTCCCTTCTCTCCCCTTCTGTATTTACGTAACTGCCTTCTTTTAAAAAGGGGGGGGGGGGGGGAACCTGTTTTTATTTCCAAATGTGGTGAACTTATTTTGATGAACAGCGAATCTGAACATTCTCTGCTCTCCTACAGTTTGTTAAATAATTTGCATCAAGTACTTTTTTCAACAGAGCTCTGGTAATGGCAATAAAGCATTTTTTTTTTTTTTTTTTTTTTTTGGAAAAAAAAAAAAAAAAAACATTTGCCAGGTTTTTTTTTTTTTTTTTTTCTTTCAAACTGCAGCTGGACAAGCATCTTAACTGCCTTTATTTGAGACAATGCAGTGGTCATGCCTCTCTTAATCATGGAAGTTCCGCAGGAACCATCAGCTCTCACAAGAGCATTTCACTATTACACAGTCAGAACCTGGTGCAACAGCTTCTCAAGTCAAAAACTGAGAGGTAAAGGCAAAACTGCAATGTTTGTAAGAATGTGTTCTGTGGGAGAAGCTGGTCACCCCATGGACAGAGCAACCTTCTTAAGATGATCTGCTCTCCTTGGCTCTCAAAGTGTTCTAGGTGAAGGTCATTAAAATATGGGCTGGGGCCCAAGAGCCACAGCGGTGAAAGGCATCCAAAAGGCAGGCACTTGTACTGATCCCTTGGTTGTGAGACAAAAAAGATGTAAGTGAAGAAAACCAGCATTAATAACCTTTACGGTAATGATCAAGTGGGCAGCAAAGAGAAGCTGGTGCCTGATATGCAGAGCTTCTTGTACATTGACTGAGTGATCAAACCCCCCCCCCCCCCAGTTAGAAACATTTTCCACCAACTGCTTATGTGTTACAAACTGGTTGTTTTTTGTAGCTGATGCCTCAGTGGAAGCAGGTGGGTTACAATTTTTATAATGGACTTAATCATATAATGGTCCTGTGTACTGTATGTGGTTTCATATCAAACACCTCTGCCAAAAAAAAAAAAAAACACACACACACACACAAAACAGAATTCAGGTGCTCAAGTAATGGGGCAGAAGTCTGTAGGTACCACTGCTCCTGGAACATGAACCATGCTAAGATCCTCGGGGGAAAGGCAGTCTATAAATAAGAAGCTTTACGGTTACCCTTAGTTACTTCACTTTTTCAGAGCATAATGCAATCTGTCTCACGTCCAATGTTTTATTTCTGTAGTGGATTCTGCTGTCCTATTTTATATATTGTATATCATGCATTATGTTGCTCTAGTAATCTTTTTAAGATGTTGTTCCACTATTATTTTTACTTGTCTTGAAAAATGTAAATGGGCAATCATGGGCAGGAAAGGCTGCTGGTAGAATCCTGATTCAATTTGCCCAGCAGAAAGTGACCTGAGACTGTCTACTGACCATGGATCCAAACTCCTAGAGCAGAGGAAAAAAAGATCCATTCGGCAAATCGTGAATTTTTATCAGTGTATTCACCTCACCTCATTATGCAAACAAAGTGTTCTTGGAAAAGTGCAGGACAGTTTGGGGCTACCGCTGGAAGTAGAGAAAGGGTAGAGAGGATGCCAAAAACCAATGTTTTGGAGATGAAACGTGAACAGGTCTGTCATGATAAGGCATACTAATTCAAATTACTCACATAGTTAAGAGAATCCAGAGGATCACTGCGTTTTTTTTTTTTTCTTTCCTTTCCGCCTCATGAATGTAAAATGTGCTTGTAATCTTAATACTCTCCCAGATAGAGCAGCCTTTAAATTCACACTTCACAAGGCTCCAGGGAAAATAAGTTCCTAATGAATGGTATTTACAGTGGCGGCATCTAAGCGTGCGCTCATTTGCTTTTCTAAAGTTACTGTGTAAACTACAAGTAATTAACAGAAACTCAGAAAGTAGTTCCTCCTAGTAAAGTTGGTTCGGGCTAAAAATAAATAAATATAATTACTGAAAAGCTAAGTTCAGTGAATTTGCCCCTGAAAGGAAACCGCGTTAATGGTGTATCATCTAATGCCGGGAGCTGTGAGCCTGTCCTGATTACGGAGGTTGCAGGTTAGGAGCTCAGTCAACATTTGTGCAGTGAGTAGTGACAACGGGGTGTCTGTCCTGGTCTCCTCTGCACTGCACTCTGTTCGTGTAACGTCAAGTATCTCAACAATTTTTCATTCTCTCCCCTTCTCCCTCAAGGAGCCCTTTTCACACTCTCGTTCTCAGCAAATGGTTGCATCTGTGTATTACGGCCTTCTGGGGGGGCACAACACATCGGGGTGATAAAGCCCCACTGGATTATAGATGTCCAATCTATCTAGAGAAAATGTCTTGAAAGTTAGCAAGGCTCCCTTGGCGCGTCTTCTAGAACAGTCGAGGGAGGGTCAAACTCAACCTGGACCACGGAGAAACGCCAGAGAGAGAAGGCTGGGCAGCCTTGGCTACTCGTATCTGGGGGCGTGGGGGGGTAAACTCATTCCTGCCCAACGCCAGTGTCTTCATCCCCCGGTAATGCTGGTTATGTAATGAGTGCTTGGTGTGTCAGTAGGAAACAAACATTCCGTGTGCTTATTATGTAATGTTGAGCAATCTGCTGGAAACGTAAAGAGTTTTCCCCAACACCTCTCTAGTTCAAACAGAAACCGTGTACTTGTACCAAGTGAACCAAACCTGGATCTCTTCCCCTGCCCCCGCGATGGACTAAAGATGCGGAAATAGACTCGAGAAGAAGAAATAAAAAGCTCTGCTTTCTCTTTAAACCCGTGAACAATAGAAGGTCATGTGATCCAGTGGCCTATCATCCAGCACATTAATAGCTGTGCTAGAGTAATTACACTTGTGGTATTTTTGCCTCAAGTGAAATTCTGAAATAAGAGGATGGAAATTATGATACTGCTGATAAATATTAATAAGTGAACTTTTAATTTTTTTGCCACAATATTCAAAATGCTAAGCATCCTGCTAATGCTGAAACAGCCCAATGTGTTTGCCTCCAGGGAGTACGATGCTTTGTGCACTTAAGAAAAAAGTTTAAAGGAATTAAAATTTAATATCTAATTAGAGCGAGGCTAATATATTTTGAAATGAGTGGGGGAGACACGGGCCTCTGCCGCATATTCGGGACGACCATTAATCTTACCTGTAAAGCTGCATTGAGAGGTGTGCAGTAGGCGTGGCTGCTTTGCATGTTTTTAATAAGGGAAGGGTTACTGCATAAGAAAAAGATAAAAACTCAAAGTTAAACGCAATCCTCCCCTGAGTTCCTAGCTAAGTTTGATCTTAGGCTTGCTGGTATCCTGACTTCTAAATCAGAAATTTCCCCCATTAACAAAACCCAAGAAAAGGTAGGTCTTGTCCCCAGCCCCCTGGGCTTTCGTATGGGGCCGGTGTCTGTGAACACCTCTGGATTGGACCTCGCGCTTCCCGGACGGAACCTGGGTGCACGATTCTGGTTTAAGTTAGACCAGCCCCTCCGCTGGTGAATGTTTTTCTCACCAAATATGGACCGCTCTCTACCAAGTTTTAGTAGCTGCCATGAGTGCCAAAGAAAGGCAGAAGCTCTGGGGCGTCTGGCTAGGGGAGGCCAGTGAGCTGGGAGTTGGGGAGAAGAATCTTGACTCTCAATCCTCTCCATGACTTGAACTCCAGGTCGACCACAGGAGGAAGGGCATGACCTCCCTCCCAGGCACATTTAGTGCTAAGCGAAGATGGACAGAAGGACAGGGAAGGATTATTCCTAAGTAAGGACGGAGGCTGGGACGAAATCTTTCTTGATACGTCACGCCGAGAGGCCATTGGAAAAAAATCTCTAGCTGAGTATCAGGACACGCTGAAGGGAAAGCGTGGCTTCCAGTAGGAAGTCACCCAGATTTATGACTGGCCTTTAAAGCAAGTGTATTTGCTGTTATTGATTTCTAATGATTCATTTCACTTCAGTTACATTATTACACTGAATGAGCAAGTAACAAGAAATTTACCCAGTTAAAGACATATTTGAACTCTCAATAAAAGCTGCCTTTTTCTACTTGGAGGAATGACTTTCACGCCACAGTATTTGGGTTTAAAGGGTCCCCATAAGCTGCTGAATCAAAATACAACCAATATTTGTTTGCATTAAAGACGTCAAAAAAGCATTATTCAAGGCACTGGTGTTCCAAAGAGAAACAAGAGAAATACATGTACAAATCACACAATTTAGTTCCATTGCAGAAAGCCGTGGCACCGCTACTTGGTGAAATGCAAAACTACATGGGATGAGTCAACCATGCAAAGCCAAAGCAACAGCAGAAAAAAAAAACAAAAGCAAGTAAAGGCTCTTACTGTGCGACAAGCTCGTCAAAGTTTTCATCGGGGCAGTATTTGCGAGGACGGCCTCGTTGAATATGGCGGCCACGTTTAAACTCTTCATCATCAACTGTCCAAAAGGACCCAAACTCATCCTCTACTCTGATAAAGCACTTATGCAGTGAGAGGTTGGTGCGAATGGCACCCTGGGATAGGAGCAGCAGCAAAGGAGATGAAGTGGCAACAAAAGGAGACGGGGTTGGGGGGGCAGAACAGACATCCAATACAGGGAACAGGAAAAAGAAAATAAAATGCAATAAGCATAAGCCAATGGTTTGTGAGGGTTAATATGCATTGCCACCTAAAAGCTACTAGCGTGTGATGTAACAAAGACCGGCAAGCAGGGCGGGGGGACTGGTGGGTATACAAAACAGGAGGGATGAAATGCTTTTTTGCTTCCCTTAATTGAGACAACGTGGAACCAGTTCTTTGGTCTAACACCATCTAGCAGCCAAAAGCCTCTACTTTGCACTTGTTAGCACAATCCGAGCTAGGCTAAGAAGTTCAAACATGGTGGACGTACCCACTGATCTTTTGTGGCCTTCGTTTTTGGAATTCTACTTCATCCACTGTCCATACTGCCCCTTTAACGTTTTCTACTCGCACAAAACACTTGTGAAGACTAAGATTATGACGCACTGCATTCTGCAGCAAGTATAAAAGAGAGAACATTTACATTTTCTATAAGAAAAGACTCCAAAAACAGCAGTACATTCAGCCTCACAGTCCGCATTTGTAAAACCGTCCCCAAGACCTGTAGCTACCACCCCCGTGGACGACCTCCTTGTGGTGAAGGATGCCTTTTCCAAAAGGAGAAAGAAAAAAAAAAAAAAAAGAAAAAAAAATTACCACTTAATTATACTTTGGCATTTAAATTTAGTCTCTGGTAGTAGTGAACCAGAAGAAACAGTTAATATGCATATCAGCCCAAAATAGGTTTCACAGTAAAAATCTGAAAATATTGTTAATGTCACTTCAAAATAAAGAAACATGTAAAAGCATAAAACTGTCCCCTTTAAGCCCACTTGTCTCCCGTAAAAAAGGGTATTGGAAAAAGAAAATCGTGCAAGGTGATAATATTGTTGAATACGTTTCGTCCTGGTTCTTTTTTGTTCCGCAATATTTTGGCTTTAGTACCTTCTGTGGGTTTTGTCGGATTTATCTACATTGGATTTTGCCATTGAGAGCATTGCCTCATGGGGGTGACAGGATAAGGGAATGACATGAGCCCCAATGCATCAGTATCCATCATCAAACTATGTCTTACCTTCCCGAATATATACAAACTTGGCCCTTGCTAGGGGCAATTATCTTAATTAACAGAAAACGCCAGAGGAAGACTTGAGTCAAACTCTCAATGGCAAAAAGAGAATACTGCTGAAGCTGATGGTTCCTAAAGATACATATTTCTATATTCCCCCCACCGTGTTTCTTTCTTAAGGTTAAAAGTCACTTCTAAGAGCATTCTTAACTGAGACCCTTGACGTCTCAACTCCACCAGAAAGGAGGATCTCAACTCCACAGCTCATCTTCCCTTTGAAATGCACAACCCGTAATGGGGCCAGTAGGAAGCACAGCTTCATGTCTGTAACCTTCTTGGTTGAACTTAGTGACTGAGACTCAAAGTGAGACAAGAGGACATTGCAGAAAGACCCATGCCATTTACTCAAAACTTTCTTCCTACAGGGAAGAAGCGGGGTGACCACTGTGGCGTGAAGAGGGGACGCAGAAATCCCATCTCCCCTGCCTCGTAGTACCGCCACTCCCTTCCAATGATGCTGCCGTTGCTCAAACGTCCTGCATGCCGCCTCTGGTGCTACCCACGGTACTTCCTCTCCAAACAGACGGAGAAGTGTTTCAAGGCGTAGGTAATCACCACTGGTGACTCTGTGAGGGGTCCAACTAGATAGGATTTTTCTTTTTCGTTACGGCAGATTCAAAGATAAGGAGACAAGTTTTCTTTCACAGCTAAGTCATCAACTACTCAGAAGGGGAATCCACGGGATAAAGTCTCAGAGTTTTTGAGCAATGCCAGCATAATGGGGGGGAGGTTCAAAACATCCAGCTGATTATGGAAGGACACTTCCGGTTCTAATTGGTGGGATAGGTTTGTGTAACAACAAAACAAAAGAAAAATCGCTGAAATTTTATCTCATGTTATATGGGGAAAAAAAAAATCTGTCCTCTCAAGTATACTTGTTAATTGTAGTCTCCTCTTTTCAAGAAACTTTTTCTTTTTTATACCGTATTAAGGCACAGGAGAGGGATACTAAGGATCTCCTCCTACCTCCTAAAACAATAAAAATAAACCCAAGTTTTCTTTTTAAAAATCCCAGACAGATCATGTATACACATTGAAGACGTAATTGCGGGAAAAAAAAAATCAACATTTCCCCTCAACCTTATCATTGTCTAATATTTTAAAATAAGCATCGGAATGTTTAGCCCTGCAAAAGATCTAAAGAAACCACATCTGTCAGAAGGATTGCTATTGATCTGTCTCAAGCATATAGCCATGTATGATATAAACTCAAACTTAAGGTTTGTTTTCCAAGACTGTGCAGCTCTGCAAAAATATCCAGAAATCCAGTTTCCCAAAAAGACGAGTAAGCCCCTTTCAGTCACAATTTAAACTGGGCATTTCATCTTTTAAGATTACAATACAAATAAGATGAATCATTTGGTACTTTATCTAGGATTGTTCATAGTGATGGCACTTTTTCCTGCAGTTTGCAAAAATGAAAAAGTTAAAGCTGTAGATCTGAGCCTAAATTTCATATTCACAACTAGTAATTATTTTTAAATTTGATCATTTGCTATTTAAAAAAGGCAATTTGAAGAAAATGTCTGCTTCATGCTTATGCTTCCTGTATTTTGAAAGCATTCATAGCTAAAGATACTCTGGATTTTATCTCCTAAGGGAGGCTGAGGAAGAAAGGGTAAGATCTTGAACAGAGGTCTCCTTCAGCACCCAAGTGTTTTAATGGAATGAAAAAGGACACTTCAAGCCATAATAGATATGCAGGGCTGGGTAAGGTTGATAAATTAATTCTATGGTTATTTCATTTTCTTTTAAAGTGCTAACTTACCAAGAACGTAACAGAGGAAATGTGTTGTCTGCTTTTGTTTTTGTCCTATCTAAAATTTAAAAAGTAGCAAAGCGAATTTCCTTTGCACCCTAACATTAATCCCGATCATATTTATGAGGACGTACAGTATCCTAAGATATGTGCATTTTAAATGTTCCAAACTGTGGTGGAATGGGGGCATTCTGAGAATTCTGGGTAGTAAAAGAGCAAAAAAATTGTGACATGGGACTGGCCCTCTTGGATAGCAGGAACATTTAAATCAAGAAATCGAGAGGTAAAATTCAAAAATTTGTGAGGGCTTCATTGAATACAGCAGAAAAGGACCAACTAGAAATGAGGTATGTCATGTGACCCTCCAGCCTTGTTAGGGCATTCCCCGTGGAGCTGAGGAATTTGATCTGTTTTACAGCAAACAGATGTTTGGTGTTAGAGTGAAGGTACACAATTTTTCAGAGTATCTATGAATCTCTGATTAATAGTTTGATGCAAAAAAGAAAAAAAAGGAACTAAATCCAAAACCTTAATAATGTATTTTGCTTTCCTGTAATGGCTCCTATATATAGTGCTACTACTTAGATTGTGTAGCTTTCTCTACTAATTACAGTAAGGAGCTTTTTAAAATTTTTTGTTTGTTTGTTTTTCTGAATCAAACCTGTTAAGGTTATGTGAAGTCGGTCTTAGTTCCCCAGGTTAAAAAAAAAAAAAAAAAGGAAGCTGTGTATCTCAGCAAATTCTGGTGGAGTCTTAAGACTGAAAAGCATGAGGTTTGTTTAAATAACAGGACAACCTCAACATCGGGCCAACAGTGTCCTCTATTCTTTTTCCCTTACACAGTAACAATCAGATAGAAATGATTTTACTGGCTGGGCCATCCAAAATCTGATGCCAATGTAATAGGAGTCTTCTGTCTCAGCATTTTAATCCCAATAAACTATCCGCTCACTAAAATACTCCCATAACTCTGACTCTGTGTGTATGAAAACAATACTCCTGTATCTTACAACAAAGTCGTTTATAAATGGAAAGTTCCGGGGCGCCTGACTGGCTCACTCAGTTAAGCGTGGGACTGTTGATCAGGGCTCAGGTCATGATCTCATGGTTTGTGGGATCGAGCCCGGCGTTGGGCTTGTGCTGAAAGCACACAGCCTGCTTGGGATTCTCTCTCTGTCCCTCCCCGACTCGGGCTCGCGCTCTCAAAATAAATAAGCTTAAAAAAAAAGTTAATTAAAAAAAAAAAAAGAAAAGAAAAAAGGTAAGATCCAAGCCTAAACAGGCCTGTGAGAAAGCTTACCTTCCACGTGGCAGCATTGCGTCGAAAATAAGCAAACATTCGTGTGAACCAGTTATAGATTTCATTTAGTGTTAGCTGCTTTTCTGGAGATTCGAGAATGGCCTGTGAAGCAAAAGTGACAAAAGAAGATAATTTATGACCAAATCAGCAGAATCGTCATTATACAGTTTCTTGAAAATATAAAATGACCATGATTCAGAGCTAAAGCCCAAGAAAGGTTTCACAAAATGATCTAAGATTAATGGTTGTATTTAACAGTTCAATAGCAAAATTCAAAATGGAATTATCTAATTGTTTTGAGTTTTTATTTCTGTTTCCGTACAGAAATATTAATTTATTAGTCATTCATAAAGCAGAATCAAAGAGAAATGCAAAACATTTCACTAGCTGATTAAAGCTCAGTAATTATTTAGAGCTCAGATTAATTCTAGGGATCAGAGATTACTGTAGCTTGTGATAATTGACTTGCCATCTTTAAACAGGCTCATTTTCACTGTTGTGTGAAATGAATTTCCTAATAATCACATCGTATTGTAATACTTAATCAAAAGCAATTATGTTATATATTGCAGTTTTAAAAAACCTTATAGAAAAGGTTTTAGCATGCCTGCATACTAAACGGTTTTAAATCTACTTCATCAATATAATATATCCATGCACATGTATACCTTTTGCTAGAATTTCACATACTGTGTTATTGACTTACCTGCCTAATTAAAGATGCGTATGTAAATGGTGGTCTAACTTCTGCGTTCTTATAAAACTCTTGGTTCTGCGCGATATCTGCTAAATAAGAATCATTGTCCTATTAATTATCACTTTTTAAAGAGAGGCTGGTCTACAAGAACTGCATGTTACAATTCTACAGGAAGCACAGATGGAGTATCTACCTGAAGAAATGGGCACGTTGTATTTGTCTGAGTACCGCCTGCGGATGGGTCCCACCGTATGCATGCTGGTGGTGGTGATGACGGAGGGGCCTTGGGTGACAGGAGTGATGGGGGCGGTTGGGGTCGTTGGAGTATGAGGTAAGCTCTGTGGAGAAGCCTCTGATGCAGACTTGGAGAGTGTGACGCTTGATACCAGATTCAGCTGTGAGGACAAGAATAATCCTTAGAAGACCTTCGCAAAAAAAACGGTGAGCAAGAAGGCATCTGAAATCCAGCAGGAGTAACACAGGAAATGCCTGGCTACTTTTCCTTCTCTAAACAGATACTTATAATCAACTGGAATAGGAGGCGAGTCCACTGAGTAGTTGAAAATACCTCTGGCCATGTCCAAAGGATATGGACCCGTGGAAACACAGGTGTTCTCCAAAGACAGTTATAGATGAGTGTTTGCAGAAAGGGGTTATCTAGCCCAGTGAGTCTGACAAGTTCGGGGTCAAAACATTTCTTCAGTCATCAAGAACCGTCTTTGTAGTACTTGTGCTTCTGAACCCTCCTGAGTAGCATGCTGTGCTTGGCAGACGGCACACAGGGAGATGGAGTTCTGGTAGCCCCCGCTGAACCCCAACGTTGCAGAAGCCACCTCTTGGGATACGCTGGGCTAGACCTGAGCTCTCCAAACAGCACTTTTTGCAAAGGGCTGCTGCCAGTGTGGAACTGTTTTTGCTTCATTTTTATTAAAACTAAACTTAAAATATTTATTTTGAGAGAGACGGAGAGTGAGCAGGGGAGGGGCAGAGAGAGAGGGAGACCGAGAATCCCAAGCTGTGGGGCTCGAGCTCACAAACCGTGAGATCGTGACCTAAGCCAAAAAACCCAAGAGTCAGACTTGGAATAGACAGAGCCACCCAAGGTGCCCCTAAACTTTTCTTCAGATAGCCACACGCAGCCAGTGGCTACCACACTGGCTGGTACAGTGATAGGCTACTTCATAATGTAACTTCAGGGAGGGAGCCATCACAAAGGTGTCTGGCCTATTATGACTCATATTAAAAAGAATGGCACTGATCCAGTAAACCAGCATTTAGTTACATCAGTTGGCAGAGACTAATCTTTGAAAGCTTTATGGGTAATCTTCACTAAACTCTAATAAATGTACGACTGGAATCTGTTAATTAAAAAAAAAAAAAGACATACAAAAGATCGGAAACTAAAAACTTTTCTTCAGGTTTCAAATGTTCAGTAATATGATCGAATCTATAGCATCAGGTCAGGAAAAGGGGTTTATTTATTTGAAGGAGTATACAGGAAAATGAAGGAGTACTTACTCCTTCCTTCCATTTAGACTTCACCTTGAAGTGCTTCTCTTAGTAACACTGAAGAAAAGGGCTTGTCCCCCTTGCCCACAATTTGTTCTCCCAGAAATGTAAGTCTGGCTATGATAAAGAACTCGGTTATTTTCAACATATTACCATTTACACATAATTGCTATCTCAGATACTTCTAGCCAGCCTCCAATCCAAGAAACCCACGCAAAGTAGGCTTATTTGGTAATGTTTTCTCAAACCACATTTCGAATCATTTAACAACATAAGTATTTCACCATTGCAGATGGACAAGGCATTATTTGTACAAGGTATTAAACATGAGATTCCTCCGGATTCATAAAGAGCCTATGAAAAGTTCGAATTTGTTGAGAAGACTCAACCTACCATCCTCGGGTAATGAAAAAAAGCCATGAGAACACCTCCCGTATGTTTAGGGTGGTTCCATAAAAAAAGCACAACGAAATAAAGAACGAGTGATGTGAAGAAAAGAAGGATCAAATGTCGTTAGGTAAATATTAACTGAAAAATGTACACATGGTACTGTGAAAGGAATACTGGGTTGCAAGCCTGTACTTGTGCTTGGCTTTGTAACTCCCCTCTTGAAATGCTGACTCTGCTAACGCCAGACCCTTCTCCCAACCCCCATGCCTGAGGAGAGCAAGCTATGGAGAGGACACTGCCCTTAACCGCCCCCCCCCCCCCCACCCCCCCGCCCCAGCAAGCTGGGCCAATGCTGGGAGCTGCTTTTTTATGAGTGCTGGAAACCTGACTTGGTGACACGCATTTGCAGACTAAGTGCTTACAGTTCGGAGGAGCAGCCATGGGATGGAGTGGAGTTGAGAAGCCAAGGGGGAAGGTTGGGGCTGACCTCCTCTTTGCCTTGGGCCTTAATCACTGACCAAGTACAGCAACAGTGTGTATAAGCATCAGCCCAAGCAACGGGTCAAGGAAATTAGTGCCTCAAAGGCTACTGCTCATAAATATACAGCTTTTAAAATTCAGATGCTGCTGGATGTAAGAATAGCCAAACCCCCTGGAAAGTCATGGATACCGTTTGTAGAAACCACTGTTGTAAATCACCTGCCGCTGCGTGATTTCACTGAGGTCTCCTACCATCACCAATAAGCGAGATGTTATTAGTCAACATTTTGCAGGTGAGCAAACTGAGGCTGTTGATCGATGAAATAACTTGCCTCTATCCTGAACCTGAACCGAAAGTCAGACACACGCTTGTGATGCCAGGCCCAGTTAATGGGAAAAATAAACACTAGCCTGTTTCATTTTTCTGTATGCTTATTTTTGGAAAAGATTCAGTGAATAGCTTTAATCCCCGCCTATAAATGACATTCAATAAATATCACTGAGCCAACAGAAGGCATCTGGAAGAGAAATGACAAAAACAGGGAGAGAACATTTAACTGCTGCCCCTGAAGAGCTTACCATCAAATACAGACGCTATTCAAGGGAAAGTGTGCGTAACAACCGTAAAGCGATTCTGAGAGTAATTGTACTTCTTGGCTTTCCTTTTCCATTTAAGAACGGTACCCCTCAACACCGTCACTTTCTTAAACACGCAATGAAAATTAGAAACCCCACGGCCTCGAGAACTGTGCCTGCTCCTGTCCCGTTTGGTGAGGAAGGGCACCAAGTCCACTCCACTCCAAAAACTCAAAACTCACGTAAACATTCAGCAAGTACGAATCCATCGTCTGGTGCTCATGTAGATCAGACAAGTCACATGGTACTGTGTCATAAAATGTGAAAAGAATCGGACATCTGTGGCTTTTACCACAGGTCTTAACACCTGGCCTGCTTGTACCCAAAAAGCAACAGTGCAAAATAAAATCCCTCCAGGGTGAGCACAACCCACAAAGACATAGGCAGTAGCGTTTTCTGGAGGCTGTTGAGCACAGGTAGCAAATGGAAATAAACACAAGCCAGAAGAGAGCAGAGAGGGGGCTTCCCAGGCTTGACAAATGACACCGTGATTCACACCCACTGCTGGGCTGTCTCTAATAAGCCACGGAGGAAGCAGCCAATCTCAGCTAATTACCAGATAAAAATGTATTGTAAGGGTTCTAATTAGGAGACGCGGACGGAGGTGATCTAATGATTAAATGCTGTATTCGAGTGACCCCACCACCAATGTGAGGTGGTGCAAGATGTCACTGGAATATTTTGTAGAAACAGTAATTTTACTTCGAGGAGGGGAGGCAGTAATATTTGTAATGATGGCTGTGAGGTAAACTAATTAAAAGACAGTTCCTCCAGGAAGAGGGTGGCTGAGAGCAGCTGTGGCCATTCCACAACCAAGTGCCAAGTCTCAATAGAGGAACGGCAGTCAAGTGGAAAATTTCTGCCCGACCTCTGCCCTTGCTATTAATTTGCAGGAAAACTAATGACACATATACATATTCCCACAAAATTGTTCTAATTGCTAATTTGCCAAAGGAGCCCAGATTCCAAATTAAACATGACTGTAGTCTGTGAGGGAAGGAAGAACAAAAAGCTGTAAACTCCAAACAGGGGGTGCTCCGCCTCGTGAAATCATTTGAAGGCTGAACCAACAAGTTAATGAAATGTCAACCTTGTCAACTGCTATAGAAGTTTGTTAACTTTTAAACTTCTGTTTGATGATCACATGCTTGTCTTGAGGAGAAACCATCTTCGGGGAGGAAGGTCACGAGGGAGAGACAAGATGGGGGGGGGGGAAGGATTCAAAACAGGCTCTGTGTTCAAACCAAACCTGCTCTTTTAATTAAGGTCTCTGAAAACAGTGGACACACACACACACACACACACACACCCCCACCCCCACAGAAAGAAAAAGAAAAATTAATTACCATCTTAGAAGAGCAAATCGGGAACGGTGTGGGTTTTGCTATAATCCTGAAATATTCATCTTAATTGTAAACTATTAAATCTTAATATAATCATCAATTAGAAATGAAAGCATATGCGCTTCGGGTTTCTGATCGTAGTTAAGGTTTTAAAAGATTATTTTTTATTTATTTATTTTTTTCTGGGGCATGGAGCAGGAAGGGATCCAACTGGGAGGCAGGGAGGGTTTCTTTCCTATTTTTCTTATTGTGTCCATTTTCTATTTCAAAAGAAGTTGCTATGTTTAGAAAAGTTAGTAACTCTCATATTTTCTACATGGCAAGTTTCTGTCATGTGATGACTTGGGCAAAGATAATCGCTTTGAGGGTCTGGCCAGAAGTTAAATTCTTACGTCACTTGAACTAGCTGGAGGGTTTTCTGTTTTAAATGCACGTGGGCTCTCGACCACCGATTTCCCCCCAGCTCACTTCCACAAGGACTATCCTGGGAAGCTTACCCATCCGGACTACTGGGACTCTGTCAGCTGCCTGCTACTCTACTGAGCCCTTTTCTCAAAGATTAATCTCGAGTTTTTGAACAGTAACCTCCTCTCTTCTTTTAAAGATGATGAGTCACTCACATTTTTAAAAAATAAACAAACCACTGAGGTAAACCCCGGACAGAAACAGACTTGTTGTAAGTATTCCCATAAGAACTCATTTTTGTTTTTGTTTGTGCTCTTGCCTCACATGAAAACAGATTCTGAGAACAAAAGGCAGACCTGAAACCCAAACACCAGGGGACCTAACTGCTTAGTAGAGACTTTGAGGCTCACAGAACTCGTTTTTCTGCTCTTGTTTTACGGTCCTGAGCGGGCTCGAGGCCTGCTTTAAACTGCACAGTGTTTCTAGACGCGAAAGGCTGGCGTTCGGGCCCGCCTTCCTGAGGCCTAAGGGGCGTCCGTGGGGCGGCTAGGACACGGCACGGGAAGCTTTGGTTTGTTGTCCCAGCTACTGCACTGGGCCAGGCACTGGCAGAGGGCAGTGAATGAGAAAGTGATGGTACAGAGGTGGGGACGGGCAGGGAGGGCTTCATGAAACAGTATATACAAATAGCTTGTGTGTGTTGTGCTAGAGAATCTTTTATGGCTGCCTAATATTGTTTCTCTAGCCCTAAAGCAAGGCCGCAAGCAGCCCAAAGGATCAGCCATTTCTTCAGGACTTAAAAGACCCCTTTTGCAGATATATGTGTGTGTGTGTGTGTGTGTGTGTGTGTGTGTGGCGGGGGAGGGGGGGACACTTTGTTTTTATAGCAGCTAAAAACTATTTCATAACAGTCCTAATTGCTATGGTTGGAGGAAAAGAGAATGCATAAAAAGGAAAATGTAATACTGCATTTTGCTTCAAATATCCAAGTTCCTGTAAGTGTTTTATAACATTTTCATAAAGAAGCATCTACTACCTACGCTATAATTACTTGCCCACCAAATCTGAAGGAATGTGGTTTTTCCAGCATCAGGAGTTGTTTTCTGGTGTGCAGGAATACCCTGAAGTAATGTGTCCTTCTTGTGTCCTCAGTATTTTAAAATACGATTTACAGGATTCTCCTGACATTATGAGAGGGAAGTCTTAAAAAAAAAATCCTTAACAACTTAATAAAGTCCTAACACAGATATGCTTCTTTTGTTGTTATTGTTTTGTCCTCTGAGTTACGCTTCCCTCCAAGGAAATAAACAGCTCAGCAAATTCTCCATGGAGCAAGCGTGGAGACACGAACCCCCAAAGCAATCCACTCTGGTGTTTACTTTGAGAATGTTACTGAGTCTGGAACAAAAGAATAGCCATCAGTCTCATCAGGGTAGTTTACTACTGTCGGGTTTTTTGCTTCTCTTCACACGGAAAGGAGAAGAATCTTTTAAAACTCATGTCAAGAAAGGCTTTTCCCGCCGTGCCTACCCAACTGCTAGAATATACGGCCGCTCTGGGAAACTTTTACATATCCTTTTCCACGCCGGGCCCAGCCTTAATAAAATCAAAAGCTGACAAATAAAATAAATTAAAAAATGGAAAGCCTAGTTTATCTGATGTTGGCTGGCCCTTTGCTTCCTCCACACTGATCCCGTGACATGCCTTCCTCTCCCAGTCGCCTTCCTCACAGACACACACGCCCCTACTCCGAACCCAAGGAAAGAATCGCTGATCGACTCCTTTCCGTTGCTTCCTTTTGAAGACTCTCTCAATCCCCGATGTAGGTGAGCCGTTCTAACAACACGGGGCACAATTCATGCAGTGGGTGTGTGTGGTTGTTAGCTTGTCCCACAAGACTCCAAACACCTCAGTGGCAGGGAGGGGGCTCTATGCTTTTAGCAGCTTACTTCATAAATACTTGTTGATAAAATAGCTGGGCTTTAAGTGCAGGAATTCCCTTTCCAAACATAACAGGCCGTGGGAGTCCTGGGTATAAATTACTAAAGGAGAGCTCTTTTCTGGTCTAAAGGATTTTATGGCAAAGCAGGAACAGGTGCCACTGAAGGTGTCCGAGGGAAAGGAAAGCTGGGCACTCCTCCTCCAGCTCACCTATGCACGTCCCAGTGTGGGATGAGCTTAGAGCCAGGTCTAAACACTCGAGACTGTCCAGAGGTGAGCATATCCTCCAACTACCCACAGGGAAGACGGGTTCCGCAAAAGGGTCCGGGGAACGTGTCTGAGCGGAGGTAAGAACAATCCAAGAAGGTTGTGGCAGTTTCTCTGATGCAGTGCAACAGCGACCGGTTGGATGACTGGATACAACAAATGACATGTACCACCCAAATGGCATTCAGTGAAAAGCAACGTTTACAGCAAAGCATTCTATCACTTAGTGACTAAGAATTTTAAAATAAACATGCAGTTCCTTTTAAACAGAAATGGAAAAAAGAAAAAAAAAAAAACTTCATCAACTTACTGGCAAGGCTGTAACATGAAAGTCCCCATCTATGGTTAGATCTGAATCCTGACGACTGCTTATTTCAAATCAAAGATTCTAGAAGGATACACGGTGCATTCTATTATTTAAGGTGGAATAAATTAATTGCAGGGAAAAGGAATATTTTGCACCTGAGAATCGATCATCAGATAGCTCCGTATCCCTCAAGTTGAAAGAACCAAGGGTTTGCGAAACGCCTGTGCCTCCCCCGCCCCTTTTTGGCAAGGAAGTGAGAAATCTATGCAGAACACTACGCGTCTACCTTTTATAATTAATTTCCCAATGCCTCACCTATACGTATTTTAATAATTCCTGATTTATAAGATGGTATCTGTAATAAAATTTTCTATTTTCCAATAAATGAAAAGAAGGCAGGTTCACTCCAGCAACAGAGTGTCACGCAATATCTGCTTGTCAGGCACCAATTTTTACTTCTTACATGTAAGTTAAAGGATAAGGAATTTATAATGCTGCCTGTGAAGGGAACCACTTTTCATACACAAATGTGATCTTTTTTTTTTTCAAAGGGTAATACAACAGTACATTTACATAAACTAATCCAAACAATCTATGTATTTGACAATGGCAAACCTCACACAGACGGCCTATTGTTGGTTTACATCTTGGAGTTCTTTATATTGGCTTGTAGCGCTGCTCTAGCTGTCAAAGGTTTGACTTGGACACTAAATAAATGGTTATAGAAGTGCTGTGCAGCGATATTGGACTTCTTTGCAAAAGAAAACCTGCTGTGTATGAATTCAAAAGCTATTAATTTTTCAGTCAAAAATATTCGTGCCTATTTCTTTTAATAAAGAAATACTGTGCTGAACTACTAAGAGATAATGTTGACTAGTGGTAGAGAATTTTCAATAGAACAGTTAAAAATAAATTTAGTAGGAGGTCCCCTTCGAAGTTACAATTTTCTAGAATGTAAAACATTTTTTTTTTTTTTTTTTTTAAATACTAATCAAGACAAACCTTCCTCCCCAGTGCATTTCCCCCACGACTGCTTTTCCCTGTTTACTGGCTGCTCCACACTGGTCTTCATGGAGATTCCCAAGGGTCCTTTTGTGGCCTATGCAGGCTTGCCTGGATGGATGGCCCTCTCTGCCAACACCCTGCCCCAGCACTCACGGAGCGCCCCATGGGGTTTCACAAATCCTTCTCCACTTTCATCCCTCCTCCTCCCAAGGAGCCCCATGAACAAAATGAGTCCCTCCCAGAGTCCCGAGGCCAAACAGTATTCTATCATTGCTTTGAATCCATGGAGGAAGTAGGAGATAATCCCATTCTCTCCCCTATTACTAGGTTCAAAGACCCATACCCCTCATATCCTGGGGAAAAAGCCATTCCAAACAGAAGCCACCTGAAGACTTCATGAGAGTTCCGAAGGCTATCGATTCCCTTAGCGGTTGGCTGTGCCCACTGGAAAACCCCATGAAGTCATTTCCGGGTCTTACCAGCTTCCTAAACTGGGCTCCTATGATTACAAGAAGGGGCTGATGAAGTCAACACAAATGGCACAACTGACTACTCATCCCATTATACCCAATGGCCTAGGTTTTTCTGTTTCCCTTTCTTTTTGGTAGCCTACACATTCAGTCCTATGGCCATTTAGTGCAAAACACGGAAACTAAGGGCTCTCTCCTAGTAAAAATGGATGCACAAAGTGTTTAATGATTTTATGTCCTATATCTCAGTAATGTGTTCTGTTTCAGACATTAATTTTGTCTGCCAACTGCATCTTGGCAGGCTACCATATTTGCTGGGTTAATAGTCTGACTCCGTTTTATTTCTATCATCATAAATCATACATATATGGGTGTATGTTTGCTTTATTTATAGAAAAAAATCAGTCAAAACAGATAAACCAATACTTTGCCATTACGCTGCATCATTGCATATTGATTAAAATTGCTGGTACTAACTATAGATTGTCAACGCTCAATTAATTTTCACACAGTGACTCCAAGCAAAATCAAATAAAGGCAGTGTACCTTTAAATTTTACAAATCTTAAAAATCAAGAAGCAAAGCACTCTCTCCATTTTGAATAATCAGTGGAAGCTACTAAGGAGATTTTTAGAAATATAAGTATATGAGAAATACAACTGTTAAAGAGATCAATTTATAGCCAGGAATGAGGCCCAAGACAGGATTTGGGGTTTAGAAACCATCCTTCTGCTTAGATATTAACTGTCTGTGCTCGGATGGCACTCTTCAAGGTTAAGGAAAAGGAAACAAGGCAAGAAGTAGGAGATTCCTGCAAGTTAAACGTAATTTCAACATACCATGTTGGAACTCCTAACTGCAAAAGAGTAATATTCACTTCTAACTCTCTAATAACCATTAGATGCCCTCCACAATTTTAGCTTCCAGCTATTCCAACAGTGTGCTTCCTATTTCTTATGTCTTTCCTCTGTGACCGTTAGACTGCACTGGCCCTCGCTCCCTTTCTCCTACCCGCAGTCTCTTGGCTAATGCAGGCTGAAATGCCCTTTTCTTCTGACTCCATGGTCTGGCTGTCTTCTTTCTGGGTTCACACCATTTAGAAAGACCTCTCCCCCTCCCGGCGACCTATCATATTTTCGTACCCTGGTACACCCATCAATCATCTGTCCCGAAGAGCGAGTTGTTGGGCCTCGTGGCCAAAGACCGATTCTGAATCATCCTCTACGTTGTGAAATGCCCTGCACACCACCCCCTTTATAGAAGGTAACCGGAAACACTCCACTGACTTATGTCCTTCAATACTAACAGCTGCCAGAGTAGGTTTTCCTGCCTCCTATGCTTAGGGGTGAGGAAGCAGCAAAGAAACAGTGTGAAGTTTCCCCCGGGGGTAGCTCGGTACTTACGGGCTGAGGGGCGGCTTTGGGTTCTGTTGACTTCACGTGCAGATGGGTCATCATGGCTTGCAGGCGCTCTTTGTCTTTTGCAAGCTAGTAGGAAGAAAGTGCTCTGTTATTTCTTTGAATACAGATGCATTACTATTTTAACATCCAAAATGATACATATTCCAAATTAAACTATAGCACCATTGCACATGACAAAATCTTTCTCATTGCTTAATCGTTTTGAAATCTACACAACCATTGCCAAACTCGAAGTAACTGGAGGTGTCAGTGTGAGATTTCTCAACACAAGATGCATTAGCTTTTAACTGGGAAGTTCTAGACCTGCTGGCACCAAGGAGTCCCATGTAACACAGACAGCTAAAAGACAAAAACGTGAATCATGCCTATTAACCAATCTTATTCATGAGGAAGCCAAAGGAAAATGAGCTAGGTAGCTAAAACTCATAAATTCATCTTTTGTGGTTGTGGAAAAGCTCCCAGACACATGGGGACATTTATGCGAAATTAACTTCACCTTTCTTAACAGGCAGGCATGGATTAGCACAGTGCTGCGAAGCAGTGTTAGCCGGGCAAGCCCAGGGCTACAGGAGATGACAAGTTCTTATGGTCAAGGGCATGGAGAACAAGCTTCATCATTCATTTCCTCAGTATGTGAGCACCTACTATGTGTTAGTCCCATCTGAGCAAAAATTTAAGGCTTCTCATTGTACAGAGAATTACCTTCTGACAGCACCCAAGTTTTTCATCAAATGTACATTGGAGGCACTCAAATACTATTCACTGGATGCTACTTCCTTTATACGTGCCTCCAACCATTTTAACATGGTGATAGTTTTGATAATTTGAGACACCTGGGCAAAGGAGACATAAAATAATTGCTTCGAGATAGTTCTGCCACCGGCATCTTTGCCACAAGCATTCTGGCCGCACACCTGATCGTCCAGAAGACAATTTTACCATAAAGGATAAAATCGTGGCAAGTAAGAGAGGGATGGTGAAGAAGGGCGTAAGGGAACACACATAAAATGAGTAACAAAATGAAAGGGATTCTCCTGTGAACTAAAAAAAAAAATATTTGGGACGCATTCAGAAGCTACAGTGGAGATGGTGGCAACAAGAGCACAAATAACGGCTTTTCTTCTGTGGATTCTACCTCGGCATTTCACCTAGCTTCAAACTCTTTTCTTCGCAGTATCACGGTTTTTTGTTGCTTTGATTCACCCTCGTTAAACTTCTTCCTTCATTAGAAGAGGCAAGGGTTTCCAAATACTAGAATATATGTTTGTAACTGAGCTCCGTGCTATGTTGTGAAAGCCTTCTAACGCTGTTCTCTGTGCTCGGCCCACTGTCACATGTCCAGTGACAGATGTTCCAAAGTTCTATGGGAAACGGGGGCTGAAAACTCTGTGCCATGGTACACCCCAGCATGAGGGTTAAGATTTACATTTGTACATGATATAAATGTAAAAATGGAAATACTTTGTCACTGGAGAAATGAAACCCAAGTGTCAAACCAAACTGTCAACCAGTTCCTTTTTTTTTTTTTTTTTTAATCTCTTATGGCAAAATTGCTTTAGGACAATTAGTTCTGTGGTAAAAATCGCTGCAGCAAAGAGGTCTATGGCAAAGATGCTCTGGGCAAAAATACCAGACATGATAAGAATTACCTCTGTAAAGTAAGTGGGAAGTATAGTTCCAAAAGATAAAGGTATAGTTAAGAGAAGGGCTGTGGAATTTTGGGGAAATGTAGACGTAACGAATGAGTGAGTGACAGAGAGAGAGAGAGAGAGAGAGTGGGCGGGGGGGGGGGTGAGAAAACAAGCACGAGAGAAGGGTGTAGAGAGAGTCTTACTTAGAACAGCACTTTTATAAGACCACTTATCCAAAATAATGCCTTTGAACTAGGGAGGGACTCATTTCTTCTATGTCACATAATTAACCTTAAATCTTTGAAATACCAATTTTGGAGAGTTCCTGGCTGGATCACTTGGTAGAGCATGTGACTCTCGATCTTGGAGTTGTAAGTTTGAGCCCCATGGTGGGTACAGAGATTATTTAAAGATAAACTCTTGAAAAAGAAAAAAAAGAAACCCCAAGTTTTGGTAAGCTGAATTATCCCAAAATTCAAGTCAAATAAGACATTTTGTAAATAAAGGTGTTTTCTAAGAGAAAGGGGTGTTTCAGCATCTGGGCAAAGGCAGAGAGAGGGAAGGGAAAAGGTACAAAAGCAAGAGAAAAAAAGCTTTCGGCGTATCTTAACTGGATGACTCAGTCTCAAGCCATATCACATTTGATTTTTTTTTTCCTTTTTATTCCCTTGTGGTGCAGGGAGGAATAAATTAAGAAGAAGGAAAAAGCCTTACAGTGTTAGCATTTATCTTTCCACAAACAGGAAATGAAAATGATACCATATTAGGAGCCACTTTATGTTATTCACCCTCTGTTCTTTAGTAAGTTATTGAACAGCCAAACTCAAAGATGCTCTGAACACATAATGCTAAAGGAATTTAGTTTTCCAAAGTGGCTCAGTTAGGACAATTAAATGTTAGCAATGGCATTTTTCTACAGTTATTTGTGTGTTTTTTTAAATGTGTTCTAAGTTTTTAGATGTTAGAACCAAAATATTCTTAGATTTTTAAAAAATGCTTTGTCTCAAAAGTTACCACGGGGCAAGAAGGAATGAAGGCGCATATATAGATAGATATATAGATATATTATTCGTTTTAAAAACAAGTAGTCTGCCATACTGAACATTAAGAATGAAAGGGTGAGAGGTGATATTTACTTAAGAGTCTGATGAATATTAACTGTGACTTAATGTGGAGGTAAGCATTGTCGATGTAGCAATTACCAAGACCAAGTAGAAGGAAATCCAAATTCCCAGCATCAAAAGGAATCCACACGTCTGTATTCCATCCAAGTGTCTACCGTGCTGACCTTCTACTGCTCAAACGTAGTAACACCATGTCACAAACACATACCTAGAGTTTATACACACAGCCACATCCATAACCCCGGAGGTCACTGCCATGGGAGACATTTTCTCACTTTTCCATGAGAGTATCACTTAGAATTCATTGTCCATTGCCCATTACCCAGGTGCCTTATTTTGCCTTAAACTCAAGTCTATCATCCTAGCTCTGCTTTATTATAAAAGGTGGTTACGAGGTTACAGAAAAAAGGGCAAAAATCCAAGTTTCTGTTTTTATCTGATTATTAGTACAAACTAGCATATAATACATTCTTGGATGGGTTTTGGCTTTTTACTGTATCAGTTGCAGCTCTAACACAAATCCTTTTTAACAATTAAAAAAAAAAAAACCCTGCCAAATTCACTTTTCATTCTTTAAGGCAAAAAAGCTAATCATTCACACCTATTGAAACCACGTCCTCTCTCTACAGGGGCTGTCTTGCATGTTTAATACACCGGCCCTTCAAAAAGGCTTCAGATTCTTTATTACTTTTTATGCCATCATTCCATGAGCTCAGCATCCCCATCAATTTTCACGGCATCCTTTCATTATTATAATATGACAATACAAACATTTAATATTGCCAAGTATATATTCCAGCATTCCCTCATAAACTGAATCCCATGAAAAGCAAAGAGAAGGAGGATGAGAAATGTACTCCAAAGGTCAACTAAAAATTTGGCTGGCAAATTAAAACAATTTTTTGATGTTGTACTATCAGAAGAGAATTACTCTCTAAGAGTTTTCCTGGTGGACACAGAAAACCACAGTTTTCTGGTTTAAGAGGAATGTCAATGCACCACACATTGAGGGGACCCGCTTGTGCAATGCTTATTCGCAGGTTGCCCCCCAACTTTGTAGAGAGACAGCACGGTGAAAATGGATGAAGGATGTGGGTACTATAATCAGACTAGGCTGGATTCAAATTCTGGCTCTGCGACTCTGAGCACATTATGTAACCTTTTTAAAAGTATTTAGTTTCTTCTTCTAAATATGGAATAATAATCTCTGAACTCTGAAGGGTTGTTTTGAGGATTAGATAAGGGCTTGCACATAACAAGCTTAGCATAGAGCCTACTGCTTCACGAATATTTGAAAATACCTAACTTTTCTTTGAAGGAAAGTTAAGTCAATTCTAGCCTATTTAGACTTCCACTGGTTGAGCCCATGCTTGGAACCTTGGGCCAGCGTAACTCGAGTTCTCCAGAGTCTGAAGCTGGCCTCAATGCGGGGAGAATTTTGAGGTTTTGAAGAATGGAACGAAAGTGCAGGAAAGATGAAGCCCATTGCTTCTGGATTGATTTCCTTGGTTCTCACTGTATCTTTCCCTCATCCTAAGCAAACGCTTTTTCTCCCCTTGGGTGATACAGGTCATCCCCTCTTCTATTAGCCATGGCCCCAAATTAGGTTTTAGACAGTCCTGGCTGTGAAAGACTGGAACGCGTGTACTGCTCCAGACACACTGATAACCGCCGAAGGCTAGGAGAGCCATTCAACATCTTCAAAGATAAAAATAAGGAGATTAAACTCATTCTTTTAGCAGAGAAAAGGGAACACGATTTTAGGTTCATTTAACATAACCACTTTATATGTTGTCTGGAGGACTAATCATTTTAAGCCCAATTTGGTGGTCCTCACTCGTGAGAAACAAAATCTGAAATAAATGAAGGATTCTGGATGTGTAAAAATGCCGGAACTACCAAAGGACGGATGAGAAGAAGGGACCGAGTCCCTCACTGGATTTCAAAGAAGCAAAGACTGTTGTGGCTATTTCAAGTCCTCTCGTCCTACTCCTGCATTTTACAGTGGGGGAAACTTAGGCTCAAAGGGTGAACCTACCCAAGATCATGGAGCTGGGAAGAGGCAGAAATAAGACTAGAATCCCAGTCATATGATGCCTAGTCGGACCTTCCCACTCTGGTATGACTGTCAAAAGCACCTGGGATGCTAAATGAAAACACAGATCTCTGCCACTCTTCCCACCCCCTTGGCTGAACAACACTGCAGAAGCCCCAAGGGAGGGTGAGGCAAGGAGTTTCAGCAGGCACTCAACTAACTGATGAGCAGGGAAGTCGAGATTATTCCCATACAATGATGATCCCCAATTTAATT